GATTGATGTTGTATATCTTGACTTTAAAAAAGCCTTTGATCTGGTATCCCATGATCACCTCTTGGCAAAACTGGCTAACAGAGGCCTTGGCCTCACCACAATCTGCTGGCTAAGGAATTGGCTCCGCAGTAGGATCCAGAGGGTGGTGGTTGATGGAAGTCAATTGTCGTGGTGTGCTGTGACCAGTGGGGTCCCTCAAGGCTCTGTCCTAGGGCCTATACTATTTAATATTTTCATTAATGATGTAGACATTGATGTCAGAAGTGGACTGGCCAAGTTCACCGACAGCACCAAACTCTGGGGCAAAGCATCCACACCTGAGGACAGGAGGGTGATCCTGGCAGATCTTGACAGGCTCATGAAATGGGTACATGAGAACCTGATGGTGTTTAACACTGACAAATACAAGGTTCTCCAGCTTGGGAGGAAAAACCTGCAGCATGCTTATAGGCTCGGCAGTGCTACACTGATTAGTAGTACAGACGAAAGGGACTTGGGGGTCCTGATTGACCACAAGATGAACATGAGCCTTCAATGTGATGCTGTGGCTAGTAAAGCAAGGAAAACACTGACTTGCATCCACAGATGTTTCTCAAGCAAATCCCAGGACGTTATTCTCCCATGGTGCTCGGCCTTGGTGAGGCTGCAGCTGGAGTACTACATCCAGTTTTGGGGTCCACAATTCAAAAAGGATGTGGAGACGCTTGAGAGAGTGCAGAGAAGAGCCATGTGCATGATCAGAGGTCAGGACAACAGACCTTATGATGACAGGCTGAGAGCCATGGGACTCTTCAGCCTGGAAAAGCGCAAGCTCCGGGGTGATCTAGTGGCCACCTACAAGTTTATCAGGGGTGCTCACCAGGATCTGGGGGAACATTTGTTCACCAGAGTGACCCAAGGGGTGACAAGGTTGAATGGTCACAAACTCCTCCATGACCGTTTCAGGCTGCACATAAGGAGGAACTTCTTTACTGTCCGAGCCCCCAAGGGATAGACTGCCGCCAGAGGTGGTTCAAACACCTACATTGAATGCCTTCAAGGGACATTTGGATGATATCTTTCTGGGATCCTATGATGCCTGCTGACTTCCTCCCCCTGTGGCAGGGGGCTGGACTTGATGATCCTACGGGGTCCCTTCCAGCCCTAGTGTCTATGAAATTTATATGGAGAGTTATATAGTTTCAGCTCTTTTTATTGATCCAGCCAAACCAGCTGAAAGTAAGGGACATACTAGGTCTGCTATGGGTAACTGTAATATCTAAAGTAAAAGTTCTAATTACTTAATACTTGGAGCATGAGATAATAACCACTGACATTCCACTGTAAGATATTATTACTAAGTTAGATACATTATGGGGACTCAATGGCTAACTACAGATGGTCAAAGAGTCTGAGACTAAATTGATTCAGTCTTTTCAGGTTAGTCTAAGATGCACAGATTAAATTGAAACAGAAGTGAACAGACCTTTGATTCAGGAAATGCAGCCACATTTCTGGCTCAGGCCAGAAGTCGGGGGATGCTAGAGCATGGCTTTCTGGCTATGTGTTCACTTCTTCCTGCTGCCTGCAAGATCTCTGGAATTCACAGTCCACAATCACACAAGCAGGACTCTGCAGGGTTGCTCATCACTTCCTCTTCTTGCTTCCTGGTGCTTCTGGGATTTGTGGTCCACAGTTGTAGCCAGCAATAAGAACCAGGAAGGGGTATGGGACAGAAGTTTCATAAACTGATTTGACTCAAATCAGATAAGTCTGATACTACATTCAACCATTTTGAAACTGGTTTATATGGACTGTATTTCTGTTCTGTTACAGGTATAAACCAGTTTCTGATCACTTCAACCAATGAATGTGTAACTTCTGTCCCTAGCCTATATCCATTACAAGGTTGCTATGTCAATGTTTGATGTTGACCACGGGCTGCTTAAATAGATGAAACATTGATGCATTACATTATACTAATTTTAATAAGAAACAGTATGTCCCATGACCAATATTTACCTTTTATTAACAAAATGGAATCATGTCCTTTACATTAATAAGCCAGCTTTCATTTAAATTTGTCAGTTCTGAGACAAAACAGTTTAAATATTAAAACTGTCTAATTATGGAAGTATAAAGGGGAATAGGTAAATTTGTTCATCTCAGGCTCAATTGCACTAATGTAATAGAAAATGCACATTTTAGAAAGAGCCTTGTGCTAGTTTTTGTTTTTTGCAACAGAAGTATAATGTTTAATGACCATTTAGTTATTTGAACACTTACTCAAATTTTTGTATGGATATATTTTTAATATCTTTAAAGGGCCTAGAGTCCTAACAAAAAGCCATCTTGTTTATCTGTTGGTTTTGAAAATATTTTTCTATGTTTAAATTGTTCCATTTTGCTGTGATTATTTGTCCTTGGAGTATGCATTGCATCATTTTTCTAGGCTATATAGATATAGACATTACAGTAACTTGGGAACTAAGACAATTTATGCTGACCTTAAAAAGCCTCTGGGATACATCTAGAGTTTCTCATAAATACAGCTATGGCAGAAAAGAGAGAGCATTAACAGCTAATGTAACTCCTTCTATAAATATAATTCAATTTGAACTACTACATATTGTATAACCTTCTGAAGCAAATGAGTTTTCAATAGGATTATAGCAAGGGTTTTGACATTCCTTGAGATGTTACAGATTATTCCTAAAGCCAGGCCATGGTTCAGTCACCCACTGACCTTTTTGCTTTTTTTCCTTTTAACAGGTGGTGTACTGTTTTTTCCTACTTCCATTGAAAATCAATAGAAAAATCCCCATTAACCTTCAATAAAAGCAGCTGGTTTGGATTTTTTGAAAATTTTGTTAGCAATTCTTAAAAATTGGCTGTAGCCAAAATTTATTACTCTAGTTACTTTAACTTAATTTGTATTTATTTGAAATGTAATTTTTTCAAGTCATTAAATATAAATGTATCAAGATAATCCATTTAAATTTTAGATCTAAAGGAGTGGTTTTCAAAGTCACTTAGCTTCAGTGTAACTCTGGTCTGTGCAAGTCTGGTGGAATAACAGTTTTCTTTTGAGAGAAACCGGAATAGGCCAAATGCTGACCTCTTTTGAAAACACAAACATTGTTCTTTTATTGAAATTCCATTAAAAACATCCTGTCCACTTCAGTATTCTCCCTTCCAATCCTAATAATATGCAATGAAATAAATGGAGCAACATATGCCAGTAATTTCTAGTAGTGTCTGTTGAGAATGGATTCTTGTTCAAAAGCCTGTGGAGAGAAATGGTAGTTGGTAAAGTAGTACTACTTGTTCATTTCTGCTTTGAAATACCACAGTGATTCTATGAGAGGAGGAGAAAAAAAGTCTCAACCGGTGCTGATTTCAGACTGTTTCTTGTATAGTTAAACCTTTTATATAAATTAAATTCATTCCTGAAATGGACTTATAGACAGATAAATTTGCTCCACTGTGACTTTAAAACAGTTCCTAACTTACTAAAATTAAATACAGAATACCCAAAAGTAAAATCTACTAGTTAAGTAAGAATAACAATGTTGAGAAGAGAGAGGAGATATATATGAATGTGGCATTTAAATCCACAAGGTGTTAGGAACTCCTTTGGTACACTAAACATCTTCATCTCTGTAATAACAGTAGAAACCCTGAAGTAGGAACCAAATGGTATAAGAGTGTGTGTGTGTGTGGGTGTGTGTGTATGTAAGTGAGTGAAAGAGAGTGAGAACTTGTCTAAAAAGGTAATGCAGTAGAACAGAGACATGCTTAGACTAATATTAGCATAGCTATTTATGTATGAATATAACTTGTTAGAAGTTAAGTAAAAATTGTAATATTAATTAAAAGTATCCAGTATTTTATCTAGTGTGTATATGCAAATATTACAAACTCCTTCCAAGTTCAGTTTGAAGCAGAAGGTAATCAGCAATATGCCCCTCTGATCCTTTATTCCATAGTTCTAGATAAGGCCAGCTCCCATTAAAATAAATATTAAAACCTATAACTTTGTTAGGAAGATTTAGCTTTTTTTTAGTTGAAAGAAAACCTAATGTTATATTTGATAGATTTCTAAAATAAGTGTTTTCTGAAGTCTGGAGGATTGCATTACTGTACTCTGCTTGTTAGCATTGACCTTTCCAAATTTGTGACCGGATAATTCAATCAATTTGTAAGATGGAGAAGCACTGTTGGATAGAATGACTTTTTGACCTACAATATTTTACTGATATTTTTCTGGTAATTAGTAAGGGATGCTTCAAACCAGGTCATAAGTTTTAAGGACCATTGCAACAGCCATTAGAGACAGACTCTCGTCCCATGTATCATTCCTGGAACATTGTCTGAGTGGGCTTCCATTGAATTGTCTTTACTATTAGTAAATAGTCTTATTCACATCAAAGAAAGTCTTGAGGCCCTTTTTTAAAATTAAAATATTTTTAATAAGTCCAAACTTTACCAGCACTCATGTAGACTGTTTATGAGATGTGTTAATTCCTGTCCAGCTTTAAATGAGAATCACTAGCCAAAATGAAAAAGCAGTAGCAGAATATTTGAAAATTTCAAAGCTTTTTTTAGTCAAATCTTGCCAAACGGAAAGATGTGTAGGAATTCCTCTGTGTCCGTTTTGAGTCCTAATAGAGTAGAAGATTTTGGTTTGTGCTCTCTATTTCATTACAAGGACCCTTAAAATTTCGAGTTCAGAAGTCAGATTGTACTGTGCTCATTGACCTTTCGCTACAGTATGTAATTTCAGGCTCTTGGGATGAGAATATCTGATTTTTCTGTGAAGTGTGGAGACAAAGATTTTCTTTTGAACAGCAGCAAAAACTAATAATTCCATAAGAATCATAATAAGGATATAGAAAAATTCTTACAATTCTTTTTTTAACTTTAAAATTATTAGATCTAAATGCAGAGGGGAATCTCTATGTTTCCAACAGGGAAAAGGGATTTATTTTGATATTGTCTGTTGCCCCTTCTAATTTTAGGAAAAAGCTTTATAGGTTCAAAGTCTGTGATGTGGAGAGGTTACGAACCATAACAATCTATCAGAAGACATGACTAGGGGGAAGCCCACTGTCCCTGTAATGACCCAAGAAATGTAAGCAGAGAAATATTGTCCTTCTCACTGAGTTCATTCTCTGGGATAGTTGTGATTACTGCTTGCATGAGAGTATATTACTTCAGAGTGGGAAGCCCATTTGTTATGTATTTCTGGGGTATACTGGGTTGGTGAGAAAACATCATGGTGTCCCCTGATAGTCCTTTGACCTATTGTCTTCTGTGATGGTGGTCAGAACTCCTTGAACAGAATTCCTTCCTCAAAGTTCCCTTGAAGGAGGAAATAGTTGAGGAATTTGTTAATGTGTTGTTCTGATGACTAAGCATGTTCCAAGATACTGCTTTGCATGCCTACACGTGCATTTACTTGAACCTAGATTTACTGCGCAGTAAGCTACTGCACAGTAAGGGTTTTTGGGTCAGTGGCAGAGTCGAGGCCCAGCAGCGGGGACGTCCAATCCTGGTGCTGCTCTAAGCAGATCCAGGTCCACACCCATTTGGATTTGGTGCAAGTGGCAAGCCTAGACCCAGGCAGGTGGTGGTGGACCTGGAGCAGGGGCTGGGCCAGGGGCTCTTGCTGCTGGGAGGTGATGGAAGAACTCCTTCCAAGAGTCGGGGTCTGCTGTGGGGCACCGGGTGACTGCCAGGGGCCTGCAAGGCTAGGAGCAGGGGCTAGGCAGCAGTGGGTATGCACAAGTCTACCAGGCACAGTGTAGCAAAACCCCCAGTGTTTCTTTTTTTTTCTTTTAAAATGCATTCCCCCCACTTCCCCAACCATTTCTTACTTTTTCTCTCCCTCTATTCCATATAGATAAGTATAAGAGAGCTAAGACATAGGATAAGCTTCAGCATTTTATTTTGATAGCAAGTTGTATTTGTTTTTTCTCCTTTATATTGTATTGATTTTTACTGTTCCATATTACTGTTTTACTGATTCTATATGATTTAGTCCTAATATGTAAGTTAGCATAAGTCATGTCAAGTTTCCATTTTATTTGTCAAGTCTCCATCTTGTCCCCATGCCCTGTTGTGTAACCTATGACTCATACATACCCCTCCTATGTAACTTGGTTCCTGAATGAATGGGGATGAATGAGGGTGCTTGAGAGACAATGGCAGTAGGTCTAAAAATAGCTCCCTCTGAATGACCAAACCATCAAAACAAATACTTGGACCAATGACCCAGCCATTGGAACCACCCTCAGCATTCAAGAAACAAAAGATGAGGGAGCCCACCATTGTGCCAAGGCTGCACATGCTCAGTAAGAACATCTGGAACCCTCTGGAACAGAACTAACATTGCCTGGACATGCCCTCCCCATAGGAGATCAGAGGTAGTCTGCCCCATAAAAAGGGGTAATGAAGACTGACTTCGTGGGACGCCATCTCTATCTGGACCAGCACCATGCCACACCACCTATCCATCCAGAGGCCCTGTCGGAGACCCCCCCTCTGGACAACACCTACTGAAAAGGACCCCTTTCTAGCCCGGATAGGTAGCTATCACCCCCACCCTCTCTTCAACCAACGACTTGGACTCTGCTTCTCTTCCCTACCTGCACTCTAACCCTCCCACTGAGTCTCTAGTGTGTGTGTGTGTGTGTGTGTGTGAGAGAGAGAGAGAGAACCAATAATTTAATGGGGCTGTGTAGTCTGTTTAATAAACCTGTTATTTGAAACCCTGAGTTGGGTTTTTTTCTGTTTTCTGACTGTTTCCTCCTTGCCACTACTTAACTGCCCCCCAAACTCCCAGCTGTCTGTCTCAGTTTCCAGCCCCAAGCTCCCAGCTGTCTGCCTCAGTTTCTAGCCCCAAGCTCCCAAGTTTCTGCCTGAGTTTCTTTCCTGGCTGTCTCCTCCTTGCCACTAGGCTTTTTCCCTTGCACCAGTGACAGTGAGTAACCTGGGGGCCACTTAACCTTAAGTAACCCCAAGCCTCAGTTCCTCAATCCAGCTTCTCTCTGTTCTAATTCCGGTTCCAGAAACTTTCACTCCTTACACTTTCTCTCTCACCTTAACCCTCCCCCAGGTATCCCAAGTACCCCAAACACACACATACATACCATACCATCCAAGTTAGGAACTCGCATGTATGTTTGTGTAGGTGGGTGGTATGTGTGTGAACTGGTGAATATATGTCATCATGTGAGTGATATATGATTTAGTGATCTGTGGATGGAGTGTGTGAATATTGACAACTGATTGTTGTCTAATTTTTGGTGTGTGTATGTGCTTAAGTTGATGATAGGTATGCATGTACCTAGGCTGGTTTGGATGTGTATGTGCCTGAGTTGGTGGTGTGTATGTATGCACCTAATTGATTTGTGTGTTTGTATATGTGCAATTGGGTCACACCCTCCTGTCTAACAGCGCAATATTGAAATCCAGAGAATTATCCTGAGAGTAGTATCCAGAGTCTGAAGGTCATCACCCGTGGCCTCCACCTTCATGTAACCCCACAGTGCCACAAGGTCACCAGTCTCCTCCAGGCTCTAGTTTGGGCCCTAGGTGGAGGCCATGGGCATGCACACGTGTGTAACCCTGGGTCTGGATGGGGAGGATGAGGTCATGCTGAGTCCTGTGCCAGCTCTCTGGGCCCCCATATGATTATCCCAATGTTGCCAGCCTTACACAGCTGCCAGCAGCACCTCGTGCAGGGACACAGCATGGAACTGCTAGCCACATGGCAGATGATATGCCCCACAGCACTTACAGGCACAGGGAATGCTGCTGTGGGTGAGCAACAGGCAGGGGGCACTGGCCCTGCTGCACAAAAGCTCCCTATAAGGGATCCTGGGGGGCTGGCAGGCAGGCATAGGTATCCTGTGGCCTGCCAAGGGTGACACACAAGGCCTGAAGTGCCCTCAGGCTCCCTGATGTGTTTTCCCCAGGGCACAAAATGGCTGCAGGCTCTTATACCCTGCAGACAGGCTGCCATAGAAGCAGCCTAGCTCCAGAACAGGACCAGCTCCTAGTCTGCACCCCGCTAGTGGCTGAGCAGACCCAGGAGCAAACTTGCTCTTGGGTCATGGCTACATGTGCATTACTGCACAGTAACTAATTGTGCTTAAATTTGCTATGTGCATTTTCAGGTAGCAAATCTACAAGGGTTTTAAGGCTTTTTTCTGTGCAGTAAGCATGCACACATGTAGATGTGTGCACTTAATGTATACTAAACTAGGCAACGGTGCAGCAACATATGTAGATGCACCCGAACACTCCTTGAAAAATGCCAGTTCTTAGTTTTTACTCCTTTTTTTATTACAGAAAAATATCAGATAAAATTTCCTATTGGAAAAAGTAAAAAGACCACAACACATCAGACTTTTTTAACATAATGGATTACTACCTGTAAAATGAGTTTATCATGTGAATCATGTTTACAAACCTAACAGTGCTAACATTGTGGGGCACCCTATGGCACCTTTTAAAGTAACTCAAGACACCCCAGTGTGCCATAGTACCTTGGTTGAGAATCCCTTATGTAGTACTTACTTTTTTTGTAATGCACTTGGACATTGTGAAAGAATGTGGCAATAGAAATTAAGAAAGTAAAAGTGATGTCTTTAAAACAAATATATTTTGATTGCTATGTAGTAAAGAACATGATTACTTAACTTATGTATATTTTGATGACTTACTCATTTAAACATCTCATTTTGTGAGTAGATTAAAAAAGAGAGTTTATGTGAAAAAACCCATGTTACTTTAAATGTTGGGAACAAGTGAGGCAGAGAAAGGGTTATCTATGGTTTGTATGAGAGGTTTTTAATTTGATATAATAACTTGTTTCTTTTGGATAGAAACACATTCAAAGGGAGGTTAATTACCATTACATTAGAATGGTGCAAAGGACAGAGGAATTTTTGTTTAATGTTTCTTCTTTCAGGGAGTATGTTTGGACAGTGCTTTTGAAAGTCAAACTCATTCATGAAAATGATCATTTTTTACTTTTAGTGTTTACTTTTCAGCAGCATGCTGCTGTTTTTCTGATGAAGTGTTGCTTTACTGGGTCTACTATGTCTCTGAGGTGTTTAAAGTAGGTCTTATTTAGTGATGGGTGAACTGGTTTGGACAAAATTAGAGCGGACATGAAAGTTCAGCTTTCCTTCAAATCAGTCAGAAATGAGAGGTGAATGTAAAAGTTTAGCTAGCATAATAAATCCCACAAGAGCCAGCAAACCAGACAAATTGCACTTGAGAGCTCAAATTTCTTTATGAATTCAGGTATTGACAAAGTATCCCCATTTGACAAATAGTAGGAAAAAGAACAAATTAATGGAGAAATTAAGTGACTAATCCCCATTTCCCTTTGAAAACCCTACTCTTTCTTGCTTATGGCCACAAAGTATTTCAGTAGCAGAATGAGAAGGCCACAATTAGATCCCCCTTTAGTATCTTGGGGACAATGCTTACAACACACTTTAAAACTGTTACAACCTTTCCTGTGTCCTAATTAACTGATTCGTTTCTATGAGCAAAATCAAGCAGGCAGAGCATAAACAGAAACATAACATTTATTGCCTATTCAATATCACATGGGTATTTGAATACATCTTAGGTGTGTCTACATGTGTTCTTAATGTGATGTAAGGTTACCACACAGTAAGCTTTCCTTGGGAACACATCTACATGTGTGCCCATTTGGAGCAGTTTAGTGCAGGGCTACTCCTGCCCTGTTCTGCTCCCCCCCATCCCCAGCAGCCAAGAGGAGCTCCAAGCTTCCCTGAGTGGCCCATGGGCCCATGTCCTTCTTCTGCGTCAGCTACCTCCCAGCCCTGCACTCTGATTGGCAGATCAGGGCTCATGGCTGGGAAACTGTCTCCTGCATCAGAAGCTGGACAACAGCAACTGTTCCCTCCCCCAGCAGTTGTCCAGCTCCTGGGAACCAGCTGCTGGGAGAGAGAACAGGTTCCTAGCTCTGTGCCCTGATCTGCTGATTGGGGCTGGGAGGCAGCTGCCTAGAATATGGGACAGTTCCTCCACTCCCGCAATTTGCTCTTGGTCAGTTGTCTACATATGCACTACTGCATTGTTAATTTACTGCCTGTATCTACAGCTAGTAGTCAACCAGGCAGTAGACTCATTTACTACATAGTAAGTGCTGCACATGTATAGATGGTGATGCTTTACTGCACAGTAGACTAATCTACTATACAGTAAAGCATCTCAAGTAGATGCGCCCCTAATGTACTCATTACTATGGTGTACAGAACTGAGAATTCAGGCCCAAGAGATTCTTTCCAGTCCTATGTTCCTAGAACAATAGGAATTCTGTTCTTGGCTTTACAAAGAAGTAGTATGCCAAGTGACAAAACATAACATTACTGTGCCTTTGCTTATCATATTTTCCCTCCATACGGCATTTGTCAGACTGCAGGGCTGTTGTGCCCTGTTTTGGGCACCATATTTTAAGAAGGATGTGGATAAGCTTGAGAGGCTCCAGAGAAGGGCCACTCATATGATTAAGAGTTTGCAGGCCAAGCCCTATGAGGAGCATTTAAGGGACCTGGATCTCTTCAGCCTCCTCAAGAGAAGGCTGAAAGGTGATCCTGTGGCTGCCTACAAATTCATTGTGGGGGAGTGTGCACAAGGAACTGGAGATGCTTTGTTCACCAGGGCACCTCTTAGGGTAACAAGGAACAATGAGCACAAACTGACAGCGAGCAGATTTAGGCTAGATATCAGGAAAAACTTCTTCACGGGAAGGGTGGCCAGAATTTGCAATGGGCTTCCAAGGGAGGTGGTGCTCTCCCCTACCTTGGGGCTCTTTAAGAGAAGGCTGGATAGGCTTCTCGCTGGGGTCATCT